TTAAAACTGTTTGTTATCTTTTTGCTTTGGGGTTGCATGTTGGTTTGGATTTCTTGTTGAAACAGGGGTCTGGGCTGTACTTGTCTCATGGACTGGGACACTTGAAGCAGGCCTTTGTGTAATTCCAGACTGTGCCAAGAACACTGCTCCTACAGCTCCACTTCAAGAAAGTAACCTCTTAGAGCCTTTCCAAATTGAAATACCCTGTTATATCTTGTGATATTTCAAGCTGAGAAAATGAATTTAAGTCACTAATTTTTAAAATGTATCTGAAGACAGCCATGTGACAAATAGTCCCTATTGATGTAGTTCACTATCACTTCCACCAGATTTATGTCCTGATGTTAAGCATCCAAATAACTACCTCAGTTCTGCCAAGTCCATGATGATACTGATATTTAATCCATGTAATTTGTTGGAGTTGTTTGGTTGGTTTCTGCCCTTTATGCCTGTATTTATATAAAACCATTTGATCTTGGTCATGCTGCCTGTTTTATAAATCCTTTTCCTCAAAGCTTTTGCTGGCATTGTGCATCTGCTGTTTCCTACTGGGTGGTTACTGACTTTTTTCCTAATCCTTTTCTCCAGAATATGGATTTTATGCACTGTTGATGTTTTAAAAGAGCCATCCATTGCCTTTTAAAGGGGAAGAATAGTTGAACTCTCAAAACATTGTTATCCATGTTTGATTCTGCTTGAACTTGGAGAAGCTTTGGGTTTGAAATTCACAAGACAGAAGCTGATGTTGAAAGAATTATGAAGAATCTACCCCACCAAACATCTCAGTGGCCATAAACCACAGGTCAGACTGGGTGTTTGACTTTAATACTTGTTCCCTGTAGAGAGTTTACACAGCTTTCTTCAGCTGTTTCAGTGCTGAAGTGAAGAGGCATTGCTTACACATGGAAGACAATAAAGTATAGTGTGGATAATAGCATAAACTGTGTGCTACATAGCAAAAATTACCTGTTATCACACAGTTAAGGTTCTCAAGGGTTTTGCATTTTACAATAAAAGCAAATACAATTTTTCTTACACAGTAAAGGAAAACGCCAAACTTGCTTTTTGCCACACTGAAGCAAAATGCAGGAATGTTACACACACTCAGGTTTGTTGTTACATAGGTATCAGTCTTCCTAAATATTGCAGCATCAGTTACACTTAATGCCTTGCAGCTCCTCACAAATACTTCTGTTAAGTTTATCTTCAGAGGAGTTGGTGATGCAAACCATCCCATTCTTAGGGAAGAGGGGGAACAAAAATTTGTGATGCAGAATAGCAGTGGTACTTGGCTTTATTAGCAATAAAAGACCACTGCCACAGCTGCTGCTCTCCAGAAGTACTGGTGTGGTCTGATGAGCCTGGCTGGAGATTTTTATCATTCAACTTCCAGAAAACATGTCTGTTGAAATAAAACAGCTGCTTTAAAATACAGTTTATAGTTTCACTGTCATTCATGCTGCATTTTAATACAAAGAGGAGAGGATTTAGATTCTTTGATGTAGGCTGAAAACCTCGGAGAGAAAAAATACTGGGAAATTACCTCAAATACATAGGTGTTGAGAATGAGGAAGTCACTCTAAATTGGTAGTTTTCACTTTAGATGACCCATCCTAGTTTTTGTTATACCTGCCCTTCTGGGAACAGCCAATACAAAAAAGGTAAGTCTCAAAACTGTACACAGTTCCTTTGAAAAAAAAGGCCAAGGGATGGAAAGCTCAGCACGTATGAATCTGCAGGAATAACACATAAGTGTACTTCCTAAGTACACCTAAAGAAACTCTTGTCTAATGCAATAAAGAAGTATCTTGCTGGAGCCATTGTTCAGGTTGACTGTTCTATTACTTTTCTTTTTTTTTAAACTTCAGCTTCCATTATATTTACTACTACCAAACAGCAGTGCATAAGCAGTTACCTAGGTCCTGTGGGAGGCAGCAGCTTTTAAAATCAAAATCTTACAGCATTCAGCTAAAGCAAGTTCAATATTATCTTCCCACATTTCACAAACATGCTACTCAGGCATGTTTTAAAAAAACTACTTGCAAATTAAAAACCATATTTGTCCCAGCCCAGCATTCTCTGTAACAAAACACTTTTAGCTAATAAGATGTAGACTTTCCTAACTCAATACTGGCTGCAGGACTGGGCTTAGAGCTGCCTAAAAAAGATTGGTGAGGTTGCTGCTGCTGAAGAAAGCTGCGTGAGCACAGGTTTGGAGAACGACAATCCAGACTTGGGGAAAAGAAAGCAATGAAGAGGTTGGATTTACTGCTGCACTTTGAAATGCAGGTATAGTTAATGAAATTATGTTCTCATTTTGCTCCCTTGTTAATTATCCCATCCTTTCAGCTGTAAGAGAGCAGGCACTGAGTGTTTCTCTAGTCCCCAGGTGGCTGCTCCTCTGTGCTCTAGAGGGAGGTAGGGCTTTGTGGGACATCCAAGGTACCACCAGTCACTGATCCCTACAGATGCAGATCTGAGCTCTTAGTGTTTCAGTAGAGAAAATCAAGAACAGTGGCAAATTTTTCAGTCAGTGTCAAAGAGGGACTTTTCACAAGCAGAGGGAATGATAATGGGTAATGAGTTTAAACCCCAAAAGGTAGATTTAGATTAGATATTAGGAATAAATTTCTTTACTGTGGAGGCAGTGAGGTACAGGAACAGGTTGCCCAGAGAAGCTGTGGATGCCTTATCTTGAAGCCCCATCTGTGGAAGTGTTCAAGGACAGCCTGGATGGGGCTTGGAGCAACCTGGAAGTGGAAGGTGTCCCTGCCCGTGGCAGGGGGCTTGCCAAACCAAACACATATTTAGAGAATGCATTAATTTCCATTTCCTGTGCATGGCATTTTAGTGTTTGTACACCCAGAACACCAGCAGGACCAAAGCACAGTCAGTAAAGCAGTGGCCAAGGAGTCCTTTGGCAGTTTGACCTTTCATGCTATTTAGCACATCCTGTCCACTTGTCACCTGCTTGCTGACCTCCAACAGCATGTCAGCATTCCAGAGGAATATTTAAGCTTTTTTTACCTACCTGCATCAAATTAATAGGAACCATTATTGAAAAAGGTGTGGAGAGACAAGTCCATGCCTGGTGACCCAGTGACTACAAAGCAGAGGAGTGCCCTGGTAACAGCAGACAGGGAATTAAGAAAAAGTAGCATAAAAGAAGCAAGGAGAAGAGCAATGTAGTTGCTACACTCCACTTTCCCTCTCCCATTCAGTTAGTGAGGCAGTAAAAGACTAGTGAACAACCCCAAACATGTTTCACACACAAAGCTGGAATCACCAATTCTAGGGATGAGCTGTGCTCTACATGTTGGTCCCAAGCAGCCAGGAGGTCTCCTTGAAGTGAGCACTGAAGAGGACAGCAGCAGGGAGAGGTCATGTCACAGAGCACTGCTCTATCTGCACCAGGAGGAGCCACCACCATGCTCTCAGGGAAGGATTTCTGTTTGTCCAGAAAGCTGGGCCATTGACATCTTCGTTTCCTGCTTTTCAAGAGCTGTGTGTGTGTCAGAATGATTGCAAAAAAATATGTAGAGCCTGACCATAAGCCACCTCTGAATTCAGTGTTTAATGCTTATCATGTGCTGCCACTTGCACTTCCCCAGCAGGGTGGGGGAGAGAACAGGAAGAAAATCTCCTGGGCACAGCTGGAGGAGTTTCAGAAGTGGGTGAGGGAATGAAACCACTTGCCCCCTCCCTGACACAGGTCAGTGCCCTGCCACCATCCAAACAATGGCCACCTCAAAAGGCTCTCTTCACCTTCCTCCACCCATTTCATTGCTGAGCATGGCCTAAAGGAATATTCCTTTGGTCAGTTGGGCTGTCCCAGCTGTGTCTCCTTCCCTGCAGTGTGCAAGCACTGCCCAGCAAGCACCAAAGCACAGCTGCCTTATCAGCAGCATTCCAGCCATGAATCCAAACCAGAGTCCCCAGCACTGCTCAGCTGGACAAGCACTCCATCCCACCAGGGCCAGCACAGGCAGCTCCAGATACACAAGCCTGAGCCCAGTTGTCTACCAACTTGTTACAGTGCCAGTGGAGAGGAGAGCAAGGTATCACTGTCTCACTATCAGTCACCACTGTCATCTTTTTTTTTCAGCTTGAGCAGAAAGATCAGGACAGCCAGCAATTAATTTCATTAAGATCTTAAGTAGCTAAGAGCTATAGACTCCACTTAGACTTGTCTGACAGTTCCCAACGTAATCCATCAACTGTCTGTAGATCCATGATAAATATGAAGAAATTTTGCTTCTGTACAGGCAAAATTCTTGAGCTTTTCAGTCAGTCCAAGGTTTAGAAGCAAACTGTGTGTTTGTCTATTATTTGTTCAGACACTGATGTATTTTAGACAACTACCCAATTGCCTCACTTAAGTAAAAAATGCAGCAGGAAGGCTCTAACCAACCACAGGTGACACCAATTCACTGAGAGGACACTGGCACTTTGGCACTTAAGAAAATTATAAAGGACAGTGCTTTTACCACCACCCAAAAAAAACCCCACAACACACTAACACATAAAACCCAACAACACAGACAAAATCCAACCACTAATCACTCATCCAAACACAAAGAAATTACTTGAGCCTACTCAAGATTTGTACTTGAACTTGACAGGAAATATACTGGCTCTGCCCCTGGATTCCCTAAACTCCTTCTATACCCATGCCCTTTGTGAAGTCATGTATTCCAATGGTTTTTTGCATGAAGACAACTCTAATCTTCCCATATTTTTAACTGTGGGCTAAGTTATAAACTAAAAAATACATAACTTTAATTGCTACCTGGTAATAAATTCTGTTCTATTATTGAATACAAGAAGGTATTCAACTTATGCCAGTCGACATGAAACACACCAAACACTTTTTTAATAGATTTTATTTATGCAAAACCAATCCAAAAGTGGTAAAAGTGAAAAGCTCTTTTTACATATTAATACAAAAGGGGGTTTTTTATACAGTTTCTATGTGTGAAGAGTGAGGATTTGACAATTTTATTTGGAACACACAAATTTATTTAAAAATATAGACATAGGTATTAAGTCATTCTCATTTTCTTTTAAGCTAATTGCTGTACAGTATACAACAGCTCAAAGTGCCACAGAACCAAGGGTATCCCATGACAATTTGATTATACAAGCTTTTTGCTTAATCCAATTAGGAATATTCTTGTTTTGATGCAATGCCTCTGCCCAGTGATTGTGGGTTTTTTGGTTTGGTATTTGGTTTTGAGCATTTTTTCAGGGCTTTATTTTATATATACAGTAGTCAAATTATATATCCATGTCATTCCCTGTAGTTCCTTAAAGAAGAAAAGTTACATTCCTTCAGCTTCCAGTTCAGCTGCTGTTATATCTGGTTCTTCATCACTGTAAATGTTTTCTGCCTGAAGACACAAAACATTACAAGTGATACACACAATTGTTTTTAAACAATCTTCTACACTTGATATAGGGAAAAAACCCTCAGTAACACCAAGGTGGCACAGCCATCATCCCCTCCTTGAGGGGATTTTCTTCCTGCCCTTTCTTAAAGGGTTGCCAAATTTAGAAATGTGTACACAGTGGCTACATTTTGGCAGCTGCCTTCTTGCATTGCTCCATTTCAACAGCAAAAGCAGTAGCCATTTAACCACTAGCCCTATTATTTTATAACACTTCATTTGGAATTATTTCAACCACAGTCTAAACACACAAAACAAGAGCAGGCACTGAAAAAAGAAGCCTGACCTGTGACACACATTTAAGTCTGTTAAGAATTTTTTAACTCAATTAAATTACTTTATTCCACACTTCTAAGATAGCTGATCAATTTCCTATAATGTAAAGTACTATGAACTAACTGAGGATTTAAAAGGCATCCTGCTTCACAGCCAACATATGGGGGAGCAGGGGGGGCAAGACTTGGCTAATACTGGATATAAGTTTGCAACTACTTTGTTAAAAATAAATCTTAATGTTAAATAGTACCTAGAACTTGGAATCAAGAATTAACTAGTGGTTGCTTTTATTGAAGTTGTTTTAGTCTTGGTTTTCTTTTCAAAGTCTTACACTTTTTTATTAGATCAAGAAGTATATGGCACAGAGAACTTACAGTCCTTGAAGGCACAAGCTGCCCCAAGAAGAACAAGCCTTTTCAGTTTCATTTATACAACAAGCTTTAGAGTAACTTAAGAGCTGTTGTGACACTCACCATCTGCCATATCTGCATTATGTTGTCCTCTGATACAGAACAGATTACCCAAGGCTCATTAGGATTCCAACTGAAGTCTGAAATTTTGGCAGTGTGTCCTCCATGAATAAACTGTTAAAAAAACCCCACAAGCTTCAGTAAGCCATTTCAACTCTAGATAAATCTGTTTAAACCCAGGATTCTTAAGTTAAATTCATCATGCTAATGACCACCCAAAGAAAAACCTGCTACTAGAGAGTCACAACAGACATAAGGAAGGTGTGTGTTCAAGTGCTTCCATTTGCTGCTTATGGACACAGATGCAGTTGCTGGGACAGCATTTGAGACAACAATTCCTATTATTACAGCAACAACTGACATCATCAAAATGGTCTCTCTTCACACAGGGCTGGACTGTGAAATGTGAAATATGTGAAATATGTTATTCTGATTATCTCTAAGAGCACTTACACAGTCACACAAGAAATGGGGAAACCTTCAGAACTGAAGAGAGGAAGCCTACAGCAAATTAAAGCAATGGACTGGAAACCAGGGAGGTGAGAAGATTTAGGAACAGCTGCAGTTTTAGCAGCACAGTGACAAGACATCTCACTGCCACACAGCATGTCAGCACACTGAAACCTGAACAAAAGGGTACCAGCAGCTCAGGAGGCCCATCTTCTGCATCCTCTGCAGACTGCTCTTCTCCAATTTTACTGCAAAAAAGTAGTTTATACTTTTTATTAAAATGACAGTTGCATTCTCTGTCAGCTTAACTGAACAGTTCCTGGCCTTTGTTTCCCATATTTGCAATTTGTGTTTCTCACTGTGAAATATCTATAAGCACCAGGTACAAAACATCAACTGTCTGGCACTGTCATTACTGAAACGGAATCTTAACTTGTGAAGCACATGGAGGTAAAAATCTCTTACTGATGTGATGCCTGAAGATTTTTAGCCTTTTTCATATTTGTAGCTTTGTAGATTTTTAATATATAGTTGTATGATTTCTAGTACTTTTCCTGTCCTCACTCCATTTCAGAATAATTAGCTAAACCTTTCTAACACATTCTTGAAATTCTGTTTAGTCTTATTGTTAATAACAGAATTTCTGACAAGGACATCTTGTTTTCCACCAGAAGCTGAGACATAACAAGAAATAGGGCAAAGAAACCCTTGGACCAACTCCAAAGGAGCAGACCCAAGGGTGTTTAACTATTGGATGTACATGCTAGATAAACTAATTAATTAACCTTTTGAAAATTGCAGAAGTCCTTTGTCACACATACACATATAGCTGTATTTGTGCACCTGAAAGCTTTCATTAAAGAACTGCTTTTTATCCTACCACTTTAACACTGTTGCAAGTTTTGTCTTTTGAATCTAGGCAACAAGTGGACAACACAAAACAATGCTATAGCAAGAAACCCGATGGAGAAGTAACTTTAGATGTACTGTGCTGTTTCTATTTATACCCAGAAAACCAGACCTGAGGTAGGCAAGGAAAGCTAGAACAGCACAAATCAAACCTGCCAAATAATGCAGGCCTGCAGCCTTTTTTTTAACCATCTGCTCACACATACTAACAGAAAGGAATTTTCCTCACCTCAGATCCCATACGTTAAGGCGACGATTGGTACCACTTGAAGCAAGAATGGTTTCATTATGAGGAGACCAGTAAACCTATTGAAAGGAAACAACTTCAGTGAGCAGTTACTGATTTATAAAGCATATCCTGAATAACTAGCACCCTGGCCACTAATTTTTAACTATACCCTGTAAATCAGTTTCTTCCAGCACAGAGGATATTCTGTAACTCAAACAAACTGCTTTAGTCTTAAGATTTCTCATACTGAACAGACAACATCATTTCACTATTACAGATTTACAATATTTCAGGAAATCTGTCTAAAAATCACTGTTAATTGCACCTAATTAAATAGGCAAAGTTCACAAAATTAGGTTTGAATTTAAATCCTCTCTACAGCATACAATTTTAGAGAAACCTTCTACTTGTACTTAAGGTACTTGTGACACCCAGTATCCTTTTAGCATTAAGTTGTTGAAGTGGGGAAAGGCAGAAATAAACTACATAGTACTGTTTGTAACTGTCAAACTCAACACAGTGAATTTTGATTCAACAGATTTATTTGTGTTGCAAGAACACAAATCTACATGCTCTTGTCCAAGTCAGTACTCTTCTTGGGTTTTTTCTACAGGTTGTAAGTAGCTTACCCACCTGAAAAATCTCATCCTTATGAGACTCAAAAGAATGGAGTTTCAGCTTTAAGTTTCGAAGATCCCACAGAGCCACCGTCTGGGAGACACAAGCAACAAGAAACTGGTTTTACTGTAATGGCTTTCATCTGCACTACACAGGAATGTAAATTACACACAAGTGAAAACCTTGTCAGCAGAGCCAGTTGCCAGAATGAACTCGCTGTAGGGACTGAAGGACAGGCAGTTGACCTCGGCTGTGTGAGCATCTATGGAGTGACTCGGCTTGGACGTGGCATTAGATCTTGTGTCCCAGCTGTGGCAGTGAAGGGGTCGGGCCAGGCAGGAAAGAGGGAAAGCAAACAACTTAAGTTTTTATAGGAAGTTCTTTTTCACTACAGCTTTTATTACTAAACTCAACTCTGAAGTTACAGCTTTCATTCCAAAACCTTCAGTATCTTGTGTTTGTTGTACATGAACAGCTTGCACCATGAAGCTGACATACATATTAGTTACATCTTCTTTTCAAGTGATGTGAACACATTAAATGGCATGTAGATTTCAGTGAATCTGCACCATCACTGTAGCTGATTGCCATAAAGAGCTAGATAAAATCATTCCAAAATTCAGACCTTTTTTTTAATCCAAGTGCTGTAGACTAGGTCCAGTGGCAGTGATGCTGTTTTGGTTTTACCTTTTTTTCTTTCATATATTCTCTGTATTCTTTACACAAACATTTGTAGCCTATTGTATTAGTGGTTAGTTTTCCATGCCCTTTCCCTAGGTAGAAAGACAAAACATATTCAAAGGGCCTCTATCCTATCTTGGTTCTCCCAGGCTACCAAGGTTGAAAACAGCTCATGGAGACATATTTTTATAAACAAAGTGCAGCCAGTACCAAGGGGGGTGCTCCAGAGAAGGGGTTTGACCTGGGGGGTAATTGCATCAGCACTTGCCCTCCTAATTGGTGCTTTTTTAGTAAATTAGCATAATTGACAAACTTATAAAACTGTATGGGCTTTTGTGGACATTCTTCCATAACTGCCCTGCAATTATGCTAATTTACCAAACTTATAAAACTGTATGCACCCCCATGGGGGATGGGCTTTTGTGGACATTCTTCCGTAACTGCCCTGAGACCTCCAATAAAGATCCACTTTTATATTACCTCCCATACTAATATCTCAAAAGTGCATTTTGTTTCATTTCCAGGTTGAAAAAAGGCATCAGCAGGACACAGCAGACCCTACCCAAAACTCCCCTAACTTACATCATAAGCTTCTGATCATCTGCCACGGATCCAAACAGAGACTCGTGGAGCAGGTGCCATGCCACGTCTTCCACTACTGCAGAGTGCCCCGTAAAGATGGCTTTTGCATCAACAATCTTGCCCTCTGTGGGTCCAGCATTTACATCCCATAAACACACAGTCTGTAAATAAGCCACATTCTATTGAAATGCAGACTCTGATTGTATCATCTTTCAAATAAATAATCAATCACACTCTACATATAAAGAGACAACACTCCTGCAGCAGTTCTTTGCTTTTGAAAAAGAACACTTATTATGCCATAAATGAGAGCTAAGTTATCAATCAGCCTTCTGCAAGTTCAAGGCCCAAGGATTATTTAGAAGGTCACAAAAGCAATTTACACTTGTAAAGTTCACAAAGAAATTTATAAGCTATTAGTTATTGATCTTTGAGAGTCTTACTAATTTATAGTCTTGACCCAATCCAGTTTAAAGGGTTTTTTCCAGCAGACAACTATCAAAACATTCTGTTCTTACATCAAGAACCTTAAAAAGAACTTGTGGTTGATGACAGCCTACAACCAACTGACAGCCTTTAGAAATGTAATTACAATATGTGAGAGCTTCCCCACATAACAATACACATCTGCACTAGGACAAATTTTCTCTAATATTCTACTACAGCATAAATTAGGAGTTGGGCTTTTTTCACAGGGGAAAAGATGTGGTTTTTACATGATCATCTGATGCACTGAGAAGATGTCCACTCAAATTTGCGTTCCATGATAAGCCATAGCCTTCCTTCTGGTGTCCTCTTAATCTAAGGTCAGGATTACACTCTCCACTTGGGTCTGAAAGATAGAAAATTCCTTTCATTTAGCATGTCCTTGCACATCAATCCATAAAAGCATCATTATCACCCAAGAACTTTGTTTCTGTTGCAATAATTATATTTCATACATGCATCCCTTCAGAGAGTGCTGCTTCTGCCATGATTCTTTTATGAAAGTGAGCATAACCAGGAAGTTAAAGTCACTGAAGGTATGGACCTTTTCCTTTGGGTTCCAGAGCTCAGCAACCCTCTCCCAAATACAGTTAAACACAAGTTTACTCCTCTGTGACCAGAGGCATTTTGCTTAGCTCCAAGCAGTCTGACCCACCTGGTTTTGAAGGATGTTTAGTGTAGTCAAACACCAGCACATCAGCAGAGGGTGTTTTTGTTGCAATGATGCAGGGATTCTGAGGCATGTAACGGGCACGGTTCACTTCACCCTCATGGTTAATTTTAATCTCCATCTCAATTTTGCCTGTCACAGATCCAAAGCCACCAAATTCTACAGTTGTCAGAAAAATGTTAGTTTATCCCATCCATTATTTTAGACTACTGAAACAGCATTTCACAGCATCTTCCCTACTGCAAGAAAGAGTGGTAGCACCGTATTAAACTCAAGAAAAGACTAGGAAAGACTCACACCATGTAACACAACAGCATTAACACTTCTGATATTTAGAATCCTCTTTCAGAGCTTTAGTGTTTATTTGAGGTAGATTTGCACCAGTTGTCACCACAACTGAGAGCTGGTAGACATTCTAGTAGGAATTGCATATCAATGTTAACTAAGCTCTTATAAAACAAAATTTCTTCTTTTTAGTTGTCTAGAATTAGTGTGGATGGTAAGTATTTGTCCACTTTTGTATTTAATAGAAAGTTAGAACATCATTATCAAAACAACTGAAAGCAGTAATGATACTGCTCAAACAGAACCCAAGAATGCTGCACACCCACCTCCTTTCTCACTGTCAGACTTCAAATCATCAAACTGATAATTGTTGGGAATCTGGACTCTGGCAACAACCAGGTGGTTCTGTTCATCAGACGTGTGTGTTCCCAAAATCAGCCAGTGCAAAGCATAATCCTTTCCTTCTGGCCTGTTTAGAATAATAAATGTTGGGATAAAATTATGTGCTCAGTTCCAGAAGTTCTGTAGCTTGCATCAATAACCCTGAAGGTGCGAACCTCTTCAGGGAGCTAGAAAAGAGACCCTCCCTAAGAGATTCTCCCCTTTGTTGCACAGCCTTGTGTAATAAAGCAAACTGAACTCTGCCATGAGCCAACCAAAGACACAACCAGCAAGGCTCGAGTGACAATACAGAGCAGTAAACAGTGCCACTGTGGCTTGACAGGGACAGTTACAGTTTGCACAGCAGCTAAAGGACACACCAATACCTACTTTGGTCTAATTTCACTAGAGTCTCACAGTACTGATTTAGGAAACAATCAATACTCCTTTCCATAAAACATAAATCCTGAGGAGACAAGTGGCAACCTATTTTAGTTACTTCTCTTAGGAGCTTTTACCAGTTATCTGAACTAGAATCAAATTTCTCTTCTGGTGGTTGAATGCAACATTTAGTTAAAAGTGAACAGCTGGATGGATGGTGCCATTCATCTCCGAAAGGACAAATTTGAGCAGTAAAAACCAAGCAACCTCTGCATTCCTGAATGCAACAAACTAATTATGTTTCCTGAATCCAAGTAATCCAGAATCATTTGGGTAATCATACACTACCACAGGTATTACTACACCACTTCCAAGTGTAGAGGGGGGGAAAAATACAAAACCAAACAAGAAACACAATGCACATGCACTTACTTGCATCAGGAACAGGTGTCCCATCATGTCAGATGCCATACAAAGAGGCAGTCCTTGCCTTAAATGGCTTACATATTTTGACACTGGATAATTGGAAATACCAGGTTTTAAACTGAATATTAAGTCAATCTGCAAAATACGAGGCAAGCAGAAGTGTTCCTCATAAGGGCTCCACACCCTCAAATCCCCGCTGCATTTTCTCCATGCCGTGACTATTTAGCTCACATCTCTCTCACATAATTCCCAAACAGTCTGGTACACCAAATGAAGTGATCACCTAACCAACACGTAAAACATCCCATATGTAAAGTGGGACTTTATAGAAGAGACTCTGATAACTGCATGATGCTTACACACAAGGTATTTTAAAATCTACCTAAATCCACATTACACCAGTCCTTGTCCACTACCTCAGTGGAGCCCCGAGTTGTTACTGCAACAATTTAAGTTCTGTAGTAACTGGCACATGAACAGATTCTATCCCCATCTTTACGATTATTTTAGAACTTAAACTGAACCCACAATTTTTTCAGGGGGTTGTGGAAGAATGGGAAATTTAAACATGTGAATTCAACAATGAATCAGGGACAAAACCAGGATGCAAAGAACTAGTTTTACAATGTTCTCTTAAGTAAGTCCAGGCTTAAAAGATATCAAGCTTATACTATGCTATAGATACTATAGCTTGGATGGAACAATACATACAGTGCACATGAGGAAAATCAGTCTTTAAGAATGAGCTAATTTAGTAGACAGATTTCTCGATCAGAATTAACTATAGATGAGCACTAGATCTCTTATTTAGAAATAAATTGAGAAAGATTTCTGCGCTCACACCTCGCAACTCCTTCAGCAGGGCTAATCTAGACTTCGGTGAAGTATCAACTTGTGATCTTGTTCCTGTAAGCAAAACAAAGAGCTACAAGATGACAAAGAGAAGTCTAACCCAAACTGCTCTCGTCTTGCATGGTTTTTATCCTCAAGGTACTCGGCACACACGGTTGAGAGGAAAGGAGCCGAGCGCCTCCGCGGCACCGTGCCGCCCCTCACCTGCTGACATCAGGCAGCCACTGCACCGTGAGGCTGGGCCACTCCAGGGCGTGTGTCATCACCAGGTCGTACAAGAAGGGGGTGTTTTTCTTCCAGATCTTGTACTCCTCGCTGATGACACGCTCCTCCACCGTGTCCTCCAGCACTGCAGGAAGGGAAGGCATGAACCGAGGCGGAGGGGGTGAACGGGGCCGCAGCCCCGGCCGGGGCTCTACCGGGGCGGGGCGGGACAGGAGCGCGGGTCCGGCAGGACCCTCGGGACCGACACTGCAGCCGGCAGGACCGACACTGCAGCCGGCAGGACCGACAGACACTGCAGCCGGCCATCCCCGCTCCCGCCTCCCGCGGAAACGCCTCGGGGAGGAGCCCCGGAGCGCCCCAGCTCCGCTCCGCCATCCCGGGGCACCCTCACACCCCAGCGCCGGGCCGGGGCGAGGGAGGGGGGCTCCTACCGTCCCTGCTCGCCATGTCGGGCGAGACGCGGCGCCGGGAGGGAGCGGAGGGGCAGGGAGAAACGGAGGAGGCGGGGAAGGAGGGAGGGGGCACGGGAGACCCTGGAAAGGCGGGAGGGAGGGAGAACAGGCGAGGGTGCGCAGGGTGCGAGGGTGCCGCGGGCAGGACACCCGGCCCTGAAAGGGCTGCCGGGCTAGGGCGGGGCGGGGGAAGGCGAGGAGGAGCCCGGGGAAGCGGCGGCGGGGCCGGGACGAGGCGGAGGCGGGTTCGGGAAAGGCGGAGGCGGGCCGGGACGAGGCGGAGGCGGGGCCGGGACGAGGCGGAGGCGGGCCCGGGACGAGGCGCAGGCGGGCCCGGGCCGAGGCGGAGGCGGGCCCGGGACGAGGCGGAGGCGGGCCCGGGATGAGGCGGAGGCGGGCCCGGGGAAGGCGGAGGCGGGCCGGGACGAGGCGGAGGCGGGCCGGGATGAGGCGCAGGCGGGCGCGCTGCGCTGTTGCCGCGAGGTGGGGCTGTAGGTAAAGCAGCGCCACCGAGGACATCTCTATGAAGTCTTACCTAATGATCCTAAATCACGCTAAAAACGTGGATATTGATCCCCATTCGCAACTAGAAATGACAGAATTATTGAATCGTAGACTGGTTTGGGTTGGAAGGGACCTTAAAGATCAGCTTATTCCAACTACCTTGTTGGGCAGGGCTGCCCTCCGCTAGACCTGATAAGTAAATCTGTAAGTCAAAATGGTTACAGTGGCCACAGCTGAATAGTTACTGTTTCTTCAGCAGTGGTGCTGAATACTGCTTGGTTTTCTAGAAGAAATGTGTGTTTGAACTATTCTTTAGTTGCAGTTTTGGCATGGAAGGCACTGAACTGCATTACTGAGCTGTCGGACGCACAGGATCAGTTCAGGGATACCAGAGTTTTAAATTTTGTATCTCTCTAATGGGGTCAATGGTGATGTCTCATACCCTGGCAAGTGGCATGGCTTTGTTTAAGCAGCCATGTACAAATCAAACATATGGCCCTACGACCATCCAAATCACACAGACAGCCTTACCACCATGCCTGCCCTGCCTTGCTGATCTCTTCTTTCAGCTGTCAGTGGACAAAAGATTGTTTAAAGCCAGCTGGATGGAGCTCTGAACAACCTGGTTTAGTGAAAGGTGTCCCTGCTATGGTCAGGGGCATTGTAACTACATTATCTTTAAGGTCCCTTCCAACTCAAACCATTCTATGATTCTATGATTTAATTTAACTGCTTAAATGAACATTGCTTGCCTTAACCAGGGTAGATCTTTCTGGCAGCTAATAACACTTTCCAAAACAACACTGGAAATAGAGGCAGTTAAGAATCAGGTTAGATTCTCCCAAATGCCCTTAAAGATTCAAAGGAACTTTTTGTCTCCAAATAGCATGTGTTTTCTTGCCATGTTGTAAATTACAGTCTTAAGATGAACCCTTGCTTCAGTGTTAAACTCACAGAGATGAATCCTGTATCACTACGGCTCACGACTGGAGTCCCAGAAGGGAAAGAAATCAACTCTGAAGTGGAGCTCACTGTGCTCAGCTATAGATGGTGACAGGAGAGAGAGGGAAACAGCCAAATAATAGCTGGCATTTCATTTTAATTTCTCCTCTGTGAGGACACTCTTCATGCACTGAGCCTTCTAGGGTCTGGACACCAGTTTTGCAAACAAGGAATCCAGTTCTGGAAAACGTTTATGTCTAGCAAAGGCAGGAGACTCCGAGGCTCTCAACAGCAGCCAAAGGTTGCAGCATGGGAATCAGGGAATCAGACTGAGGAAGGCAGCCAGCTCCTCCAACTGGAAGCTTTCCCTAATAAACCATTGCTTTTCTGATCAGAGTGTTAAAAACCAGAAATCTTTTGGTGAAGTTAAATAAGTACATACTAATCTTTGCCTCAACCTGCACAAATTAGAACTACACCTGTGCATGGCTTATTTATTTAATGAGAATCCTGTTGAATTGCACAGAAGCTGTACAGCAGTCAGCTCCATAGGAGTGCACGAGTTAACACAGACACAGGGCCTTGTCCTGCCAGATGTGGCACCAGCTTCCCTTTGGCACTGCTTGCTCGATGCTTTGGTGTTTCCTGCCAGGAATGTGTCTACTCCTACAAAGTGCTGAGACCTTCCTAAAACATTTTCAGGGTGAAGACTGAACCTTTCAGAGCCTGTGTGTTGTTACAGAGCGTTGATCACTTAAACTTCAGATAATGGATAAAGGAAATCTCTGTCAGGCTTCCTGGCTTTAAGCGACCTCTGTTAGCCCTCACAGAAGTGTGATTGTGTGACCCCTCGAAAGATGAAGCACATGTAAACGTTTGGCTGTGATGCTCTTTGTGATTTTGCTGTAAACAGCAGTATTTGTGGCCACAGCTTACCTGGAATATGATAGGGAAAATGTGAATTGGTTTTGAAAAATAATGGACAAAATTGTTCTTCAGTGATGTCATATAGGGCTTGGCTGAACTATAAGTGAAGAATTACTCCCCAGCCCTCCACAATTTTTTGCTAACTCTGTTTAGGATCTGGAAATCAAGTTGGATTGTAATAGGTTCCAGAACTAGTACTAGCTTTGGTGAACAAACCCAGTTACATCTAGATGTCAAAATGGTTGGTAAGTGACCAGCACAGTTCTCTTCTCCTTGTTAACAATTACACTTGCACAAAACCACATTTTCTCTTAATTTAAATCTGTGCACCAAAAATCCTGTTATCAAGTGCTCTTTTCCCATTGAGATTTATCATGGAAGAGACAATTTATAACACTACATCTATCAAACACAGCACATCATTGACTCTTATGTTAGTTATTTGCAATTCATTGGCATGGTCATATCTGTGGCCACACATCTAAAACATATCCTTTGATTCCCATACTTTGTAAGGAAAGCAGTTATGCATGGCTGTTGTTCATCATTTGCGGTATGTGTAAAATGCACCATAAATTAGTTCTGAAGTGAAAGAGTGACTTGAATCATAAGCTTTATTTTTATTAAGCTATACTTCTTTCAAACCTAAGCATCAAATACTGCATCTTCATTTCAGTAAAAAACCACCATCTCCTGCATCCTCAATTGTATGTGCTGCATCGTGCTTCAAATTGCAGACATATTTATTAAGAATTATATGCACTTGTTAATTTTAGCTTGAAGACATGTATGCTGATATATTATTCTGCAAAGAATTAGCTGGCTTGCTGTTGCTTCTTATACATTATGCAGAAGTGATGGATATTCTTAGCATAACTCAGCAAGTAGGTGTAGGTATTACTGTGAATGACCATCTCAGTCAGAAAATTGTGTAGGGCAAAACAATTTTGCACAAAACTCAAAATTGCCCATTGGAAAAGTAAAATAGCAGCCTCAGCAATTATTATACTCTAACATATTTGTTGTCATTGCATAGTCCCAGTAGCCTGTTGGAATAATGCATAATTTTCTTAAAACATGTTTATAAGAAAAACACACTTCATTTTAATTCACTCAGAATTTCTTGAAATGTGACCATGTTTATTTTCCCCACTGCTCATCCAATATTTCTTTTTATTTACCCAACAATTCTCATCTCCCCAGTATCAATCACACCTCACCAATATCCTGCTGTCACAAAAGATCTTGAGCTGTAGCCGTGTCTTGGACATGCTCTCTGTGACATGCAGGTTGGGATTTGTCCAATGACAGCATGTCTCGGATAGCTCACTCCTAAATAGCTGAGGCTGTGTTTTATCCTGATGTGCAACATCTGTGTGCTGCACAGCCATGTGCAATTGGCAGCTCTTGCTTTGCACTGAATAAAGAGCATTTATGGCAGTGTCAGTACTTAGGGGAAAGCTTGACTCACTGGGATTATATCCAGCGTTGTAGACAAATACTCCTCTTGCACCTTCTAGGTGGCATTGCTCCCACCACTGGGACGCTGCAGTGGGAACTCATGAGCTGCAGGGTTTGGGTAACCAGCACTGTTTGTCACACTTTCAGCTGACTGCTGTAGATTGTATTGAATTTCAAGCTGCAAATGAGAGGAAATCCTATAGCAGTCATGTGGCCTCTTTCAGTATTCAGGAATATAGAGTGTTTTACCTTTGAAGTGGAATATGTTTATTCTGTGAGGTACAAACCAAGCTTGTTCTCATATAAAAAGTCCCTCCTTCACCTCCCAAAGCAGCACTGCACTGAGCTAAGACTAATCCAGCTCTGCTAGATGCTTTTTTAATTGCTTGCATGGACATGGCAATATTCCCTCAGCAACTGGTCTTGCTGGGCTATTTCTCTGCTCTGTGACATTTGTTTAGCATTTTCTATGCTTTTTAAAAAATAATCCCATGTAGAATAGAAGGTAGATTATTTGAGAAATAGATATCATTGTTTATATAACTGGCTTGGTACACTTTTATTAATTTTGCACAGAGTATTGAAACTGGTTGAATTACAGAAGAGCAGGGAAATAGTAGTTTTTAATGTGTCATCTTATGAAACAGTGCTGCAATATGCGCTGTTTGTCATGCTTTATATTTCCAATATGTGTTTTCATTGTATAGTCTGCTGTAGCTCTGCAGCCTCTGGCCTGGACACGTTATTGCCCATACGCTGAGTTGCAGACCTGTAGGGATGTTAAAAGAAGTGGCAGAGAATATTTTGCTCAGCAGAAAATACTTTGGCTTTTTGATAGATGTAGCAGATATGCAAATTTTTACGACAAACAACCTATTTTCCTAGAAGTACAAATGCTTACATTAATGCCAACAGGGAGATTTTCAATAAAATGAAAGAGAATTCTGACCTCTGAAGCTTTCAGCACATGGCTTAATGGAGATCCGTGTTGCTTGTTGCCTTGGCCCCCCTCTTTGTGATCTTGGAGGAACTTGAGGAGCACGAATTGGGTAGTTCCAAGTTTGTGTCTGGGTCACAGAAATCAGAGGAGACTGTAATCCAGACACTGCTGTTTTCAGTTATATGGAAAGGAGTCAAGGCAAACTGCTGCTCTCAATGATGTGCCGAAGCACAGGAAAGTCTCAGCCTTTCATGCCAAAGAAGGTGAAAGGGAGTTGTTTATTATAATCCATTTCCTCTTCAACTTCCACTCTAGGGCTTAAAAGCCTCTGCAAGTATTCAGTGAAGGAAAGTGATCTCCACTCCTGCCTTCTAATCCTCGGGAATGTCTCTCCCCACCTGAGCTGCCTGGCC